AAAAAACAACCTACCATGTATAATAATTAAACCAAATACACATAAAGACAGCACAATCACAAAAAGAGAACTAGAAACAAAAGTTAATCCAGCGTCAATTTCTGCGGGAATTGACATGGTAAAACAGACTAAAAACGGCTCTGTTATAATCAAATGCGACTCAAAGGAATCAACTGATGTTATGAAGAAGGAAATCATAAATCAACTAGGAAGCAACTATATAGTCGAAGAATCCAAATTGAAAAAACCCAGCGTTAGAATCTCCAATATCAAAAATATGAACGAAGACGAGTTATTAAATGCCCTGAAGAACCAGAACCACTTCTTATGTAATACAAATGATATCTCAGTAAAAGTATTAAAGAAAACAAAAAAAAATAATGATATATTATTTGCCATTGTGGAATGCGATGGTTCTACCTTTCGAAAACTAATAGCAGCATCCAAAGTTAACATAGGATTTGAAAAATGTCCAGTATACGAAAATTATCACGTTATCAGATGTTTCAAATGCAACGGTTTTAACCATACACAAAATAACTGTAGAAAATCTATATTCTCCTGCTCTAAATGTGCTGAAAATCACGAATCAAGAACATGCCCAAATACATTTAAAAAATGCACGAACTGCCTCCTGTCTAATAATAAATTTAATACCAATTATGACAGCAATCATGATGCGTTTGACAACACATGCCCAACGTACTTAAAACAAATTGATTTTGTTAAATCTAAGATAGATTTTACATCCTAAAAATTAAAAATAAAACAAAAAAACATCAATGGCCAATCAACAAGAAGTGGACATATTAAATAGACTCGTAAATGAAGTAACATGTCAAACAATTGAAGCTGATGAAATTGGGAACAAAGTGACCATCAAGAACAAAATGTTAAATCTACTCCACCTGAATATAAGAAGTGTGCAGAAGAACTTCGATCAATTACTGGTGTTTTTAGAAGCATATAAATTAGTGTTCTGTGATATTATCATACTAAGTGAATGTTATCAATTAAAAACAAATTTTTACAATATTCAAGGATATACTACCCACTATAATTACGGTGATATCAATAAAAATGACGGAGTACTTATACTAATAAAGTCAGAATTAAATGCTGAAATATCAACATACAAGTTACACGACACAAAGGTAACAGTAAGTAGAATAATTCTTCACATTAACAACATTTCATATGGAATAACTGCATTGTATAGGCCTCCCTCAACAATAGTAGACACATTTATAGACGATTTTGATATCTATATAAACAACAATTTAAAAACACAAATAGAAATTATAGTCGGTGACATAAATATCAATCTCCTAGACAGTGAAAAACCGTATATAAATCGATACTTAACATGTTAGCACAACACGGATTTTTATCTTACATAAACGCACCTACTAGAGTAACACATGAAAGTTCTACATGCATTGACCACATCTTTATGAGAAATAAATTAAAAACAAATAATATGATCTATGAATCATTTATAATAAATCACGATATAACAGATCACTATCCTATTATGTTAAATATGCAGAAAACAAATAACTTAAACAAAAAAGTACCATTTACTCTGAAAACAATTACAAACTTTGACCATGACAAATATAAACAACTAATAAGTAAAAAAAGCTGGTTAAATGTATTAAACACAAATAAATCAGAAGAGGCAGCAGAACTATTCCTAACAGAAATTCAGAATCTAATTGAACAATCCAAAATCACAAAAACAATAAAAATCAGAGAATTTAATAAATTAAAGCCATGGATAACCAATGGAATTATTGTATCAATAAAAAATAGAGATAAAATGAAAAAAAAATTAAACAAAAACTATAGCGAGGCTAAAAAAAAATGAATACAAAATATACAGGAATAATGTAAATAAATTAATTAAAGAAGCAAAAAAATACTTATTATAAAAATAAAATTAACAACAACATAAATAACTTAAAAAAAATATATGAAATAATAGCAGATGCAACAGACCAAAACACAAATAAATCAAACAAAAACCTACAAATTCTAGATAGCAATAATGAATGGTTTAATAATGATAAGGACATGGCTGATTTCTGTAATGATTATTTCACCAGTATAGGTATAGACATGTACAACAATATCCCAACAGCAGATAATAACGTTGACTTACCACAAGACAATTTACTTACCTCAATGTATTTGAAACCGGTTAATGAAAATGAGTTAATAAAACATATAAACAGCTTAAAAAATAATAGTTCTCCTGGTATCGATGGAATCAATACAAATATGATAAAAGATGTACATAAATACATATTAATACCACTAAAACATATTATAAACCTAATATTCAAAACAGGAATCGTACCCAAACAATTTAAAACATCGATTATTACACCAATCCACAAAAGCGGAAATAATAAAATAATAACTAACTATAGACCCATAAGCCTAATAACAAACTTTACAAAAATTTTCGAAAAATGTTTAAAAGATAGATTAATCTCTTTTCTAAATAATAATGAAATAATGAATAAACACCAGTTCGGATTTACAGAAGGATTAAGTACCAGTAATGCATTATATGAAGTAATAAGAGAAATCATTGACCAACTAGACAACAATAAAAAGTGTATAACAGTTTTCCTAGACTTAGCAAAAGCCTTTGATACAGTGCCACATGAAAAACTCCTTAATGTTCTCGAACATTATGGAATTAGAGGCAATGTATTGGACCTATTTAAATCTTATTTAACAGACAGACAACAATATGTAAAAATTAGAGACACCCTAAGTAATGCGCAAACTATTCAAATCGGAGTTCCGCAGGGGACAGTGCTAGGGCCAGTATTATTTAACATATATATAAATACCCTACCCACAGCGAACAAGTATGGAAAAACAGTGTCATATGCTGACGACACAGTGTTAATCTTTACGGGGAACACTTGGGAGGAAACAAAAGATCAGGCAGAACAAGGCTTAAAAAATGTAAAAAGCTGGCTGGATATACACAAGTTGTCATTGAACATAAGAAAAACTAATTATATTGCCTATTCCATAACATCTGCAAACCGGCCAGAATTCAACACATTAAAAATTCAAAATACTTCAAGCGAAATTCATGAAACGTTAACCACGAAATATCTAGGAGTTATCATAGACTATAACCTCAAGTGGGAAAATCACATAAACTATCTAACAAAGAAAATAAGATTCCTGGTACATAAATTCTATCTCTTAAAAGACATATTAAATAATAAACTACTGATCACCCTGTACCAAACACTGGTAGAATCACTATTGCGCTATGGTTTAATAGTCTGGGGAGGCCTTTACAACAATGCCTTAAAGCAACTAAATGTAGTACAAAACTCCATATTAAAAATAATCTTTAAAAAAGACAGACTATACCCCACAAATCTATTATACAAAGATAAAATATGTAACATGCGTACCCTTTATATCATATCCATTTGTATATATATCCACAAAAACAAAAATCAAAATGACTACATATCTCACAGCCATAGTACGAGAAGTAAAGACAACCTGCATATTAAAATACCAAATAATAAAAAAAATATCAGCCATAGATTTCTAAATTACTTAGCTCCAAAATTTTATAACCTACTACCAAAGGAAATTAAAAAATATAAAAATATCAAAAAGTTCTCTAATTTAAGCAGGACATATATCAGCCAAAATTATTCTGACTTTATTAAGTTATTTTGACCCCCGAGGTACTTTTATATACATAGTACTAATCATAATTATTGACAGCGTATACACATTCACTATTATTTTGTTATTATTACTGTTATGCATTTTTCTATATACCAAACACTTTACACATTACACACTATTTTTTACACTATTTACAGTGCTCAAAAAATAAGTATATAATATTTAAGTTTAGCTTAAGGATTATCTTTAAATACTTATAAATGTTTCAGACTCTTTTAAGACAACGTATTGAGATACCATCATAAAATAATTAAAATATACAGCGTGGGCTCATACAGGAGCTCAGGTTCACCTAAGCTCCTAGGTGCCAGACACAAAAAATAATTATAATTAGGTACATAATAATTTAATGTAAAAACCTACCAATGTTTACAAATTTTTAAATGAATGAATAAATGAAAATGAAATGAAAAAGCACATCAAACTAAAAAGTGAAAAATAATTATTAATATAAACTGAAAACAATAATGAACGAAAAATACTAGTATTATTGTGAAAAAAGCGTGGGGCGCTTTGTGCCATATTTTTCGTATATCGAGCAACCCACGCCTTTTTCACAATAATACTAGTATTTTTCGTTCATTATTGTTTTCAGTTTATATTAATAATTATTTTTCACTTTAAAAGCGTGTTTTTTAGTTTTTTTAAACTATATTTATTTAGTATGAATATAACTTATAGTGTACTTGCTGAGGGTGGTTATATATGCACTTTGAAGTCCAGAAAACATCCACATGGGTCATGTTGATACATGACCTTTATCAGTTCCCACCTGGGTATATAGCCTGAGAGCATGAGCATAAGCTGAAAATCCATCCTTGTGAAAATATATTATGTACAATTGACATACTCGCATAATACATAGGTTAGGACGCAAGGAGTCACCGTCATCGAAAATAGAAATTTTATAGGAATAGATCTATCATTTACATTCCAACTACTTTCATTAAAATGACACAAAATAGGCATCAAAGATTTATGATCTAAGCAACAAAGAGCACCCTTGTTGATAAGTTGGCGAATGCCCTACAAAACAATGGCCCTAAATTCTTATGAAGTTACCTTCTATGGCATATGTTAAAAAAATTTTTTCTTAATCGCCTTTCAAGTCACCGAAGTAACTCCCGGAAAATCCTAGGATTTTGTGTTGTGTAGAGAAAGGCGAGGCCTTACAGTTTATTGTGGAGTCCTTACCACATTTAGGGCAACCACAATTCCCTCTCCCGTCTTAGTCCGAAACAAATTACAAACAAAATTTCTAACATGCTCCAGGATGGAATCGAACCATCGGTCTTCTATACCGAATAAATACTTTACCCACTCGGCTACCATGCCCCGCGTTGATATCAAAGATGTGATATTTTATGTTTGCACTAAATCGCACTGATTTACAAGAAACTTTTTAATTAAATTTGTTTATAAGAAATTATAAAGGTAAATATTTATTAATGTTATTGTTTGTTTTATTGCACTTTTAGAACAATGATTTTTTTTTACATTTACACAATGCGTTTCTAACGGTGTACTATACCCCTAGTGTTTTACTTATTCGACATACATTATATGACCCTATTTTAAGTATTTCACATACTATTCTCATCAGAAGCCATCCATTCATTTCAACGAGACTTTTTACGATTTTTCTAACATTCAAGATTTATTACCATACAACGCAACTAATTTTATACAATGCCATTTATGCATTTTTAAAAAACTATTAAAAGGATTAATGGTATGCATGCAGGGCAGGCTTTAATTTACAGTCCATATATTTTAGTCATAGGTACCTAAATATTTCATTAAACTCAATATTTTGTACAAAAGTAATAAACTATTAGAATAGAATTATTATTAATATTTCATGAAATAGCGAAAATAATAATGTAAAAAATATATTTAAGAAATAGCAATGGATAAAGTTATTGGCGTGAATATTCTAATATACATTAAACAATGAATATGTCAAAATCTCTTATGAGGAAAAAATCAGTGCGTCAAATAGGTTCTTTACACATTGAATAATTTTTTAAATATCTATCATCCGTTTAAGGTATACATATTTTTTTAACGTTAATTTTAACACCTTGGTGATAGATAAAGTGTATATAGCAAACTGGAATTTTTTTCGAAGTTTTGTCGCTAACCAGTTTCCTCCGAAAAAAAACACCGACTCACTCTGTATATAATTAACAAATAGAGAACAAAACAAACAATAAAAGTGAAACACACTTTACGATAACCTAAAATAACCGGTATTGCTGAAAACCACTTTATCGATTTTACTGGTATATCTAATTACCTACATTACATTTAATGTCACCTACAAAATTTTTTTCAAAATTATGAATCTGGGTGTATTGCAATTTTTTTATATCAATTTGGTTTTACTCGACTACCACACGTTTACAGTTTACACACGAGGAATCTTCTGACCTGTTCAAAAGTGGAATTCAAAAAAATTATCCATGCAGTAAAGGACAAAATAACGAACTTTATAATATTGATTGCACAAGATTTTAATGAATGTTTCTTTCTTTATTCTAAGAGAAAAAGTTATAATAAACATATTGTTCAAGATAAATGGTGCTGCATTTCAAAAAAAAAAAAAAAAAATTGGTTCTTCCCAAGAATCGCGAAAACGCTTTGAAATTTAGTACGATTTTTATGTTTTAGGAGACATCCTTAGCTTGTTTTAAAATTTTCATGAGGTCAATATGTAAAGTATTCTTTTTATTCATTTTATTTTCTTTTAGTTACTGATTCTGTTTCCAGAGTCAAAAATAAAATCGGTGTAATTTTAAACATTCCTTATTGTCAATACTGTTCAATTAATGGATATGAATAATTACATTACTACATAACTAACAAACATGCATTTTGTTTATGGTCGTATGAATGGAAATTCGTTAAAATCTATGCGTCTTTACACAGAAATGTATAATCGTGGCAAACGGTATAGTAGCGAGACGCGCGATTATCCAGGATCCCATCAGTTTAAGCGAGCATTAGCACGCTTTTGACTATATGTCTTACCACTGCCGTCATCTACTATATTCTTTGCCCCCAGTGCATAATAAGGGCCTTATCATTCATTATTTACGCGCCTTCTTTAACATCTACATGAAATGGGGAGTTTGAAAAGGGGAACCAGTGGCGGAAGATCCAAAGAAGTTCGAATGTCGCAAATTGATGAAGCAATTCTTTATCAAATTGAAGAATATCCAGGAAAAAAGAACGAGAAAAATTGCTTCTACCCTCAATGTAAGCCACCAAATTGTTTTGAGAGTACTAAAGGAACAAGAGTTGCATCCATACCATATTCAGTGGGTCCACGCAGTCTTACCCCGTGATATTCCATAATGATTTGATTTCTATCAATGGCTTAATCACAAGGTAGAAGAAAATCCTCAATTTGTATCACAAATCCTCTTCACTGATGAAGTAACCACTTATAGGCTAAGGAAGACTTGCATAATTGAAAAACGAAAATTTTTTTATGTACATTCCTATGACTATTTGTGACCATTTTCAATTTATTGAACAATAACTGCTAAATTCAGCAATAAAAATTAAAAATATGGTTTTTTTTTTAAATAATTCAAGAGAAGGTATTATAATAAGCGTGTTACATGATGCCCATAAAAATATCACACCAACAACAATCCAAAATTTTAAGGAAAGGATCATAAATGCTTTTAGAAGTATTTTATGAACAGTAGAAACGTCATTACAAAGACGCATAGACATGTGTGTTAATCAAAATGGGCAACATGTGGAGCACTTTTTATAATATCTTCCCTTGAATTACAAAAAAAAAAACATTTTTATTACTGAATTTTGCAATTATTGTTCAGTAAATCGAAAATGGTTACAAATAGCCATAGGGATGTACGTACAAAAAAATGTTAGTTTTTCAATTCTAGATCATCATCATTTGAAAAAATTGAGAAAATTCAGTTCAAATAGTAGCAAATTTAAAAATTATTATTGGACACCCTGTATACTTCTAGGAAGTGAAAAAGTGGCTGAGTGTCATCGCACAGATGTCTCATAACTGATACTAACGAATTTTTTTCTTAAAATCGATAATTGTGACTGTATTGATTTTTTAAATATACGTGTAAATGGCATAATTTCAACAAAAAAAAATCATTACATCCAAGTGGTTGGGAGAGAGTCAATAATAATACAGGAGTGGAGGGAGGCCAGAAAGAGGTTTCAAAAAATGTTCTGATAAATATGGCATTCCATTTAGAAAAATGCTAGTTGACCCTGTAGAATCGTCTTGGCTCACCCTGTATATTAGAAGATAATTTTCGGTTATAGACTTTTTTGTCTAGTTTATTCATGTTTTTAAATCAAGTTTATAGCTATTATACAGGGTGGTCCGAAGTTTACCTGACAAACTTCGACACGTGACACAGGGACTTAAAATAAGCCGAAAAGTTCCTATTAACTTACATCCTTAGGGGATTGCTAACAAAGATACAGGATGTTAAAGTTTTGTGAAAAACAAAAATTTTTTTTGATAACTCTAAAATTACGAAAGCTATCGACTTGAAGCTTTAGGGGGCGGTGATGATTTTTAAGTCTCTATTGTTTCATAAAATCTTATCTTTGTACTGCCTCCAGTGGCGCCGCCAGAGGGTGGGGGAGATGAATTTTTCGCCGAAACTATGTTACGCCACTGTTTTGTGCAGTTGAATTTGAGATTGTCGATTCAGTGTTCAATTCGGTAGAAAAAGGTGTCTTTTAGTTTTTTCGTACAACGCTTACTTTTCGAGTAAAACGGCTATTTCTGCTTTCTCTACTAAAACACTAAAACCTTTCCTACATTAATGATAAAATTAATAATCCTAGTAGCCTTTGGTAAACAATGAAACAGTGTTGTCAGTCTATGTTTCACCTGTCAAAACTCGTGTTAGTGTTGTGTACCAAGCTACAAAAAGTCAAGATTGTTCAGCAATGAAGAGTATGCTGATATTCATTTTATTTATGGGTTTTGTGATGGCAATGCTCAACAGGCAGTTCAAGAATACCGAAGGAGGTATCCAAATAGGAGACGACCAAATGTTCAAGTTTTTACAGACACCCATCGCAATTTTTGCGAAAGGGGATTGCGAGATAACCGACAAAATAGAAATGAAGATCGAAGAAATATTGGGAGAAATGGAAACGGAAGAATTCTTAGAGCTTTTGGCGAAAATCCAAGTTTAAGTTCTCGCAGGGCAGCACAACAATTAGGAACATCCAAGTCTAAAGTGCTATGAGTATTACATCGAGACCACAGAAAAGCTTATCATTTATATCCCGTACAAAATTTACATCCCGGTGATACAGAGAAGCGTTTAAATTTTTGTTGTTGGCTAATTAACTCTGTAAGGGGGGAATCCCGAATTCTTAAGAAAAATATTATGGACCGATGAGGCGACGTTTACCAGAGCTGGAGTAGTGAATCACCATAATATGCATGTTTGGGCACACGCAAATCCTCACCAAACCCGCCTTCGATCATTTCAAAATGAATTTAGTGTAAATGTTTGGTTGGGTATTATTGGCAACAACATTTGTGGCCCACACTTCTTGCCGCCTAGGCTAAATGCAGAATTGTTTCGGGATTTCCTCACTCATGACCTTCTCGAAATAATGAGAGATGTTCCCCTTGATGTACGAAATGAAAGTTGGATACAGTTGGATGCAGCACCGGCGCATTTTGGACGGATGGTGCGCGAATGGTTGGAGCTAATTATCCTGAGAGATGGATAGGTCGTGTGGGAAACAATTATAACGCCCAGGAGAATATTGTAAGAGGTCCGGTGGCTTGGCCACCAAGATCACCTGACCTCACGCCTTTAGACTTTCATTAGTGGGGTTATTTAAAAGAAAAAGTTTATGCTACATCGGTGACAACGCGAGATCAGCTACTTGAGCGTATCCAACAAGCTTGCAACGAGATGAGGGAAAATCATCATCAAGTATCCGCCGCTGTCAATTCCACAATGCAGAGGTGTCACAAATGTATTGAAGTGAATGGGCTCCAATTTGAGCAACTTCTTTAATTTCCTGTGTTTCACTGTTTGGTAATGAGTTTTATTTATGTTCTTAGTTTTTACATAAATTCTGTAATTTATGAAATAAATGATAAACTTTCAATAAAGTTTAGTCATGAAAATGATTTTTACTATTTTACTCGAAAAGTAAGTATTGTACGAAAAAACTAAAAGATACCTTCTTTCTTCCAAATTGAACACTGAATCGAACAATCTCAAAATCAACTGCACAAAACAGTGGCGTAACATAGTTTCGGCGAAAAATTCATCTCCCCCACCCTCTGG